AATAAATTTCTAAAATTTTAATAATTTATATGTAATAACAAATTATATAAAAAATTGTAAAAATATAATAACAAGTTATAAAATATTATAAAAATATAATAGCAAATTATAAAAAATTATAGAAATATAATAACAAATTATAAAAAATTATAAAAATATAATAGCAAATTACAACAAATTATACAAATATAATAGCAAATTATAAAAAATTATAGAAATATAGTAACAAATTATAAAAATATAATAGCAAATTATAAAAAATTATGAAAATGTAATAACAAATTATAAAAAATTATAAAAATATAATAGTAAATTATAAAAAATTATACAAATATAATAATAAATTATACATAACAATTTACATTTTAAATAAACAAATGAATGGCGAAAACTGAACAGGTAAATTTGAGGCAATAAATAAATGAATATTTAGTAAAAGATCGATCGATCGATTAAATCGAATATTATTGAATCAGCTGGTAAATAATTGGAAACAGTCGAGTGCCGCGGCGTTTGCATCACGTGCCAATGTCAACAATAGTCTGACTGAGCAAACACGCGCTCGGCATGCACAAATTTCCCAGGGTGAACTGGTTTCGCGTGTACGCAGATCATCGCGTAATTATGTTAAAGCACGCCGATTAATTACGTAGGTAACTGGAACACCACGATTTACGATTGTTTATTACGAACGTAGACAAACTTTCGAATCGCGAGTAACAACGAGCGCTTTATTTTAAAAAAAATTCAACATCTCCGATTTAATCGTAATTGATTTATTTAATCGACTTGCTTTATCGTAGACAGAATAACAAAACAGGTGCATTTTTATTTAAGATAGTTAACCAACGGCGATTAATTTTCTATTCATCGAAAAAGACGCGTTAAATTTTTCTATTTTATTTTGTTTATTTTTGTATAGCAAAAAAGGATTGAATTATTCGATAAATGCAAAGTTAATTAGGCAAGAATTTCCGTTCATTAGAATCGAGATGGACAGTCTGAATTTTCTGTGAGGACGTCCAGCGTTCGCAGGGAAATAAGTCAGATCTGGCTTCTCAGGAATGGAGATGGGCGGTGCATGCGCCGGGAGTCCCGCGCAGCGGGCGTATGCGTCACCCGTCCCCACTCCTTCGAAGCCAGACGTGACTCGTATTTCCCTGGGAACGCGGCGAGCACGTATCGGCCTTGTTCAATGTCAAAAACTCGTGGAGCGACCGCGAATCGTTTCCTGTGTTTCGTTCTCGCGTGTGAAACTCTCCGCGAATGCTCCAGTTGCTGCGAAAAAATGATCGAAACGCTGGAACCGAGAATTATTGCACCTGCGAGCAAACTGTTCCAGCAGGGAAATTACGATGCGCGTTACGAGATCTGCCGGCCGTTTCTGCATTATGCTAATGCCTGGGGCTCGTTGTTACACGGTCTCCTGTGCCTGACATTCGTATGATCGAATTCGTAATCGTCGCGTTACGTTATTGTGACTTTTTATGACGATCTAAAATATAATGTAGGAGAATGTATTAATAAATATATAATAATAAATGATGTAGAAGAATGTATAAATAAATATATAATAATAAATAATAGGGAAGAATGTACAAATAAATAATAATAAATATAGTATGAGAATGTATGAATAAATATGTAATAATAAAGATAGAGAGAGAGAGTACGAGAAAATATATTATTAAAAATATTGAAGGCTTTTAAAAATATATAACGTGTCTGGATCACGTAAACAAAAATTAATAAAAATTCTGGAGGCTTTCAAAAATATGTAATAAGTCTGGATAGTACAAATAAAAATTATTAAAAATTCTAAAGGCTTTCAAGGCCATACAACACGTTCAGATCGTAGCAATAAAAACTAATAAAAATATTGAGGGCTTTTAAAAATACATAACATGCCTGAATCACGTAAACAAAAATTAATAAAAATACTGGAGACTTTTAAAAATATCTAACAAGTCTGGACAATGTAAATAAAAATTATTAAAAATTCTAGAGGCTTTGAAAGATCAGATTGTAGCAATA